AGGATCCTGCTTTTCCTGTATATACTTCATTGTGTTTTGGTATTGCATGTCTACCACATCCTCAAAATCAACAGCAAATTTTAGCTCTTTTTAAAAACAAAACAAAACAAGTGGTTGCACATGCAATAAGCACTTTTCTAAACTTGATAACTAGGCCATTTTTAACTTTTGGGGTTTTTTTCTCCCAAATTCCCTCTGCTTTACTACCCACACATACCCACACGGATGAGAAATAGCCTTGCAAAATGTAAGGGTGTCTAAATAATAACAAAAACCCAGAGCCTCATCAGCTCCTACTCAGAAATGCCAAGTGGCTTCAGAAACCACAAGCTTCTATTTTTTAGCCTTTTGCATCTTAGCAATGACATGGATGTATTTTTCCCTCCCCACCCTCTAAAGCATATTCAGAAAACATTTCTCTGTGGTCATGCACGAGTATATTTCAGGCCACAGCAAAAGTTGAGGGAGACCGGAAGGAAGGTATGGGTGACCCTAGAAAAATAGCAAACGTTTTCCCTGATTGTAACCCCCTGACGAAGATCTCCAGAATAATCACAGAAATTCGAGAGCCAAGATTCCTCTAACGGGTCCAGTGAAGCTGTTTCCTAGATTAAAATTGCCTGTCCGCATCAAGTTCTAAGTGACGAGGCTTCTGCCGTGTTCAGCGAGGCTCTTTCACTAGTTAATAAATCTCGCTGCCGATAGCGTCAGTGTTCCTTTTCTTCCCTTCACTCCTCTCCATGCTTTGCACATCTCTGATGCTACAGGCACTCCGGGAGAGAGAGTCTACAGAACCGAGGGAGGTCAATCGTGGGCCCTGCTGCCAGTCTCCAGGTTCTCCCAGGGAAGCTACCAGCTTCCTGGATGCTGGGCTCCCCTCCCAGCTGCCCTCCCAGCCCTGGCCTGGGTCCCAGGGGCTGGGTGCAGTCCCTGACCCTGGCCTAGGCCACAGCCATGCTCATGGCCCTGCCGCCAGCCCCAGCTCCAGCCCAGTCCTGGCTGCTCTCCTGGCCCTATTGCCCCAGCCCCAGCCACTGTCTGTGCTCCCCTGGCTTGCTCCTGGCTGCGCTTCCAGCCCCTTCTGCCAGCTGTTCTCCCTGGCCCCAGTCCCGCTGCTAGCTCCATCCATAGCTGCTGGCCATGCTGCCCGGCCCTGCCACCTGTCCCAGCTCTGCCAGCAGCCTCAGCCCCTGCCATTAGCTGCCGGATTTCCGGACATCCCTCGCTCCCTCTCTAGTCCGGCAACCTCCGTGCTCCTGCCGGACCAGAGAGGTCCTATCTGTGTAGATGATAATCTTGCCAAGCCGAGCTCTTCCACCCTAAACCAGCCCCTCCCATCCAGCAGTCTGGTGGTCCTTTCTGTTACTGACGTGCCACCGCTGAATGCAGTTTTCCAACGGCAGGTTTGCCCCTGCTGGGAGCCCCTAGAGTGGCAAGCTCGATAGAAGTGTCATTTATTATAGCCATAGAGATTCTCACTGTCCCTTGTCTGTTGGTCTGGTGTGGAAGAGGGGGAGGGGAAGCGAGAGAGCCTCGCCTACTCCAGTTCCCTGCAGATGGTCAAACCACAAAGTACCAAGGAAAAGCCACACACTTCCTTCCCATTTCACTGCTTTAACCAGGGAGCACGCTAATGGGCTGGGCTCAGGAGCATTATGCCAGCTTGTCTCGCCCAGCTCCAGAGCCAGCTTTAGGCCGATTTGCCGGATTCCCCTGAATCGGGCCCCACACCTAAAAGGGCCCTGCGCCCTAAACCCGGAAGTGTGCTGGGCGTGCTGACATCCCGGGCATGCTGCCGAAGGGGGCGTTGGCCCCAGAGGAGGAGCGTGGTGGATTCTGTGTGCTGCCGGAGCAGGAGTCAGCCCCAGATTTGTCTGGAAGGCGGGACTGGAGATTTAAAGGGGCTGTGACTTGTTTCTTTGTGTGGGGTTTTTTTCTTTTCTTTTTTGTGAACAAAAAAGTCCCGGCTGCTGGGGCCCCGTCAAAACAGTTCGAATTGAGCCCTGCAATTCCTAAAGCTGGCCCTTACCACCTCACATTGTCAGTTCGTCTGCCGCACACAACTGTTAGACGGAGGATCTGAATTCTTCCAGGGCTGTGGGAATGGATAAAGCGTATGAGCCTGACATGACTTCCGGACTCTCAGGCTGACATCAACTGGCTCCACTCAATGGCCTTCAGTAGAGCTCTGCCTCCGTATGCCACTGTGGTGCATCTGACCCAAGGAATTTCCTTTTCAGAGGAGAAATGAGTAGCCGTCCATCACCGTCATCTATTTTAGTCACAATATATCCTCCCTGCGAATAGCTTTGGACAGACATGAATATTAAATAGAAGGAACAGCCTGGTTTAAGCTTATTTTCTCACAAAGACTTTCTTAGTAGACGTTCAAAACAACGAGTAATCCTGTGACACCTTAGGGTGCGTCTACACCGCCAGGCTTAGCTCGAAATAAGCTGCGCAAATTGAGCTACGTCAATTGCGTAGCTTATTTGGAAATTGGGAGCATCTACACAGCACTTATTTCGAAACAGAGCACCCTTCCTCCCACTTCCCTTACTCCACGTACAAGGAGGGTTACAGGAGTCAGAGTAAGAAGTCCTCCAGCTTGACAGTGTTTCGACATTATTTCGAAATAACTGCTGGCTGTGCAGACATGTACTAAGTTATTTCAAAATAATGTTGCTGTGCAGACTTATCCTAAGAGACTAACAGAAATATATATGGTATCATGAGCTTTTGTGGGCAAATCCCACAAAATGAGACATTTGGTTTACCATTGTCCATGGGTAGGGTTGTCAGATTCTGCTGGTTTCCATCTGTGTAGTTTTTTCCTCCCTGTAAAGCAGGGCACGTGAAGCGAAATGCGTGTTGATTGTACACAACATTGACTGTTGGAAAAAAGAAGATTAAGGGGGGACATGATAGTGGTTTTCAAATATCTAAAAGGGTGTCACAAGGAGGAAGGAGAAAATTTGTTCCTCTTAGTTTCTGAGGACAGGACAAGGAGTAACGGGCTTAAAGTGCAGCAGGGGAGGTTTAGATTGGACATTAGGAAAAAATTCCTAACTGTCAGGGTGGTCAAATATTGGAATAAATTGCCAAGGGAGGTGGTGGAATCTCCCTCTCTGGAGATATTTAAGAACAGGTTAGATAGACATCTGTCAGGGATGGTGTAGACGGAGCTTGGTCCTGCCTTGAGGGCGGGGGGCTGGACTCGATGACCTCTTGAGGTCCCTTCCAGTCCTATGATTCTATGACTGTGAGAGCCATGTGCTCCCTGTGCATCCAATCAAAGCGCTGCCACAGTTCCATTGGCGCACCCTGCAAATTCAAGGTACGCAAGCGCAGTTAGCAAAACTGCCCTCTCCCGGGAGACAAACTTGCAGCCCACTGAGATGAAGGAGAACCGCTCATGCAGCCCACTCACTAGCTAGGCTGCCCATCACTGTTTTAACCTCTTCTGTAGCTTACATTGTTGAATTTCTACTTCTATAGTGCTCCTACTCCAGCCACTCGGCTCCTTCTGGCCATGGGAAATAGCAGGGGAATTCACAGCATTTGAGGTTTTCACATTTGGTTTTGATTTCCTGGAACTGTTCCAGATTTGGGGGAGGTGGAATGTCATGGATCTCGGCACAATAGTATCTCTGAGCCAACCCGTTGGTTTTGGTAAAGTTTCAGTCCAGTGAAGACGAATGTTTCTGTCAACGTGTGCTGGGTTTTCAAAGATGCAAGGTGTGAACTTTTCAGGCTGGGAAATGACCTGGGCTGAGATGGCAAAAGAATATCAACACCGTTGGGGTGATTCTTTCACCCTCCGTTATAATTTGCCAATATGGCCAGATAGCTTATCCCCATGTGGACTAACACATTAGATAGATTTGTATGTTCTTTATGACAGTGGCCACCAACCAGTAGATCTACTGGTAGATCCTGGAGCTTCTAACAGGTGATCCTGGCTGGTTTGGCCAAGAGTCTATCAAGTGCCTGAACTTCAGCTGCCCCTCCCCACACTGCTGCTCATCTCCTGCCCTTTGCCTTGGAGCTGCCCCACCCCCTGGGGAGCATCCTGCTTGCTGGGCAGGGCAGGGGAGGGAGAGAAGGGGTGCTGATGTCAATGTGCCCCCTCCCAATCTGTATCCTTTCGCCATAGAGCAGAGAGAGGGCCCAACCGGACTTAGGATGGAGTTTGCTGGCTGCTTTAGGGAGTGTTCCAGGGCTGGGAAGGGGTGAGCCTGCCTTCGCCCCACTGCACCCCCAACCAGGAGCCACCAGCAGTGCCCCGCTGGAGCCCACATCCCAAACTCCTACCCCAGTCATGAAGCCCTTCATGCACCCCAAGCACTCCTGCATCCAAATGCCATCCCGGACCCTGCACCTAGAATCCCCTCCTACATCCCTACTGCCTGCCCCAATAGAAGCTCAGAGCCCCTCTCACACTCCAGATCCGTTAATCCAAGACCAGAGCCTGCACCCCAACCCTCTGCCCCAGCCTGATGAGAGTGAGGGAGGATGGGCAAGAGAGGGAGGATGGAGTGAGCAGGGGTGTGGCCTCGGAGAAGAGGCGGGAAGGAGGCGGGGCCAGGGTATTTATATTTGAGGTAGATCTTGGATTGCACTTAAATTCAAAAAGCGATCTCAATCTTAAAAAGGTCGGAGACCCCTGCTTTATGATATCTAGCACCACTTAAGTCAATCTATTCCTTCTATGAAAACAGGGTTACTAGGACTATCTGTCCCTGTGCCATGAATCATAGAAATCATAAATAGAGAAGGCCATCCAGTTAAGTGTTGTAATCCAACCCCCTTCCCAATCCAAGATTCTCAACAGTAGGTCCCTGGTCCCAACATCACCTGTAAAAGCGCTCACCACTTTCTTTGTAGGTAAGGCTCTGATCCATTCGCACTTGGGTTGAATATTTTCTCTTAACAGATATTGAACCCACGTGAGCAGTTGCCTCTTTTTATTTAACTTTTTTTCTTTCTTTTTTAATCAGGGACCCCTGGAGTGAAAGGAAAGAAAACAGAAAGAAACAAACGCCCACCTGGCAGCCAGCATATCCTGATGGGCTGCTATTCAGCGCAGGGGAGCTTGTCAGAAATGGGGACGGAGAGGCAGAAGAAAAGGTAAACCAGGAGATGAATGGGCAAAGTACAATGGAGGAGAAAGAGCAATTGCAGGGTAAGTGTTTGCCAGCAAAGGGGCTCATCTTAAGACATAAAAGCATAGTCAAGAGTTAGCCCTCAACTTCACACCATATTCTGACAGATCAGGAGGGGAAAATGGCTATAATACAATTTCCCCATTCCTGGGAGCAGGCAGGGGCCAAATTAGCCTCCAGTGCAAGTGAGAACAGCCCATGGGCCACCCTTACACATGCTGGTTCGTTAGAAGCCCTATGTGATGCCGACTGTCAGCAGGTGGGGTTCAACCTGCGTCCTTAGGGGTCTAATGCCATGAGACTGCCACATGAGCTAAAAGCCAACTGCCTCTTAACTAAGGCTATAGAACAGACTTCACTCTCCCTAGCAGTGTTCTCTATAAGTGGAGCACTTGTGTGGCTACTCCGGAGAGATTCCAGTGCTGCCCAACTGATTAGAAAACCGCCCACAGCTAGGTTTGTGTTTCTCCTGGTGGTGCACATTCACACATGCCTCAGTGCACATAACAAAATACATTCTGCACATAGATGGAAAAAATCTAGATATGGGGAACACTGAGGCTAGGTCTACACAGCAGAGTATTTGCGCAAAAACTCACGGCGCGTCCACGCCTCAAGCGCATTTTTGTGCAAGTAAAATGAAAGAACAGAGGGGTTTTTGCAGTGAAGGTATTCCTCTTTCTACGAGGAAGAGTTCCTTTTTGTGCAAGAGCTCTTGAGCAAAAAGCTGTGTGTGGATGGGGAACAGAGGATTTTAGCACAAAAAGAGGCAATCGAAAAAAGCTCAGGTGCCCTGGTGGCCATTCTGTAAATAGCAATCGGAGTTTCCTTTCGAGAGAGTGTCCATGCAGTCTGGATGCTCTCTTTTGCAAAAGCGCATCACTTTTTCGATGGGCTTTTGCAGTGTGGATGCTTTCTTGCGCAAGACGTTTTTGCGGAAGAGATCATCCACAAAAAGTTCTTGCGCAAGAGCCCGTTCACACAGCCATGTGCTTTTGCACAAGAGATGTGCTTTTGCACAAGAGAGCATCCACACTGCATGGATGGTCTGCGAATGGCCATCAGAGTGCCTGTGCTTTTTCCATAGGGGTTACTTGCGCAAGAAACCCCTGTTGTCTGTCCACACATACCTTTCTGCGCAAGAGCTCTTGTGCAAAAAGGCTTATTCCGCATAGGAAGAGGAATAACTCTTGCACAAACAGCTCTGTCTTCTGACGATCTACTGTACTTTTTCTTGCACAAAAACACGCTTGTAGCGTGGACACTCTGCGAGTTTTTGCGCAAAAACTCTGCAGTGTAGACGTAGCCTGAGTGTCAGAGCCTCTGAGTTACACATAAGTGAGTATCAGCTAGAACACAGCGCACCCCACTCTTGGCCCTCCTTCCACCATGCCGCTATTCCCGCCACGGCATGTGTTGTTACAACCTAGCCAGATAACTGCAGACACCTTCTATGGCGCTACACTCTTAGCCAGTCCAGCACTCCCTGCACCTCGGGAGCTGCTGCTGTTTACCTTGGGAATCCCCCGCTGCCCCTCTAGGTCAGATCCCTGGCAGTTCTGTGCAGGGCCGGATTAAGGCGGGGGCTAGCTGGGCAGCTGCCCGGGGCACCAACCTATGGGGGGTGCCTGATGGCAGCTATAAGGGGCGCGGCGCCCCTTAGAGCTGCGATCAGGCACCACACACCCAGGGCCGGGGGCCACACAGCACCCCTTAGAGCTGCAATCAGACGCCGCACACCCAATTGCAGCTGTAAGGTGCGCAGCACGGCAGGAGGCGGGGCCACGCATGCACTGTGCACCGGGGGCGGAGCCACGCATGCGTCGCGCGCCCGCTGCCCGGGGCACAGGAATGGCTCGAGCCAGCCCTGGTTCTGTGCCGTCTGTGCAGCCAAAAATGGCCAACTGGAGGATCTGTCTCCTTGTGTGTCTTTTAAAATAAGTTAACACTGATGTAATTACACTATAGAGTGACTCACTGTTTGTCATCAAGCTTCACAAAAGGTGATGGAAGATAGCTATTCAAGTATTTTAATTAGTTTCCAGGGAAAAATATACCTAGTTAGGCCAGGAAGAGTTGAATTCATTACTTCAGCCATATCCCAGACTGCTGCTTATTTGCCTCCTCTTTAAAATGAACTGATTGTTCTGCAGTAGCTGAGTAAAAGAAAATTGCAGTGTTCCAAGTCAGAAGTGCATCTGATCACTCCTAAGGCTCTGATCTTAGAGTCTTCACAGAGTAAAACAGCTAGAGATGCCAATGGTCAAATATTGGAAATATGGGAAGGGAGGATTTTTCTGGAGTCAGGACTTCAGGGCAGGACCCCGAGTAACTTAGTAACAAATGGTTCTAACAGTCAGATCGTTCTACGCAGCTGCCAAGCTGTTCCATAGATTGCACAGATTTGACTTATTGCTAAGAAACAGACCAGAACCAGACTGCCCTTTTCACATAAGGAATGTACAGCTGCATGGTTTCCATTCATTTTGCACAATATGGGTTCCAGGAATTTGTGTAAATTATTAGTGGCCATGCAGTAAACAGAGACACATTCATTACTGTGATCCGTACTAATAAAATGTTCCCTGTCAGCACCCCCAAGGTCTTTGGGTACCTACAAAAAAACATACTAAGGAGAAAATCAACACCCCGGCCTGAAAAACTCCTAACCAAGGCATGGAGGGGGGGGGGTACACCAAGTGACCCCTAGTACACATTCAACTGAACAAACACCCACAATGGAAACACTTTCAGATCTTCTCAAATGAGCAGAAATATATTCACTGTGAAACATCATGTTTCTGGAGCAGAGTCAAATACTGTGGCTGCCCTTTCAAAAGGCCAGATAATTGGATTACCATTATTGCTATCTGCATGATCAGTTTGCCATAGGGCTCAGAAGAGAAATCCCACCTCTCTCCACAGTGTTACATAATGGGCCAGATGCATGATGGGCCCAGCTCAGCCAGCGGTTTAAAACCCACTGAATTCAATGGAATAAAGTCTTCTCTTAAATTTAAGCACGTATTTGAGTGAAGACGAAAGATGGACTTCAGGACACGTTTAGCATGAGGCAAGTGACCCCCCTCCCATACACACACACACCTTTTGGGTGTGGTTTTCTGTCCCATCTAGTGACAGTTAGGCCACTGAGGCTATGTCTACACCGCAACATTATTTCAAAATCACTAGTGTTATTTCAAAATAACAGTCCACGACTACAGAGCTGGCAGTTATTCTGACATCATGTCAAAATACTGTCAAACTGGAGAACTTCTTTCACCGACTCCTGTAACCTCATTGTATGAGGAGTAAGGGAAATCAGAGGAAGAGTGCTCTATTTTGAAATAAGTGCTGTGTAGACAGCACCAAAACTCGAAATGAGCTATTTCAAAATAAGCTACTTAAGACTCACTAAATCTACTTAAGACTCACTAAATCAAACTCAGGGTATGTCTACACTACCACCCTAGTTCTAACTAGGGAGGTAATGTAGGCAACCGGAGTTGCAAATGAAGCCTGGGATTTGAATTCCCCGGGCTTCATTTGCATCTCGCCGGGCACCGCCATTTTTAAATGTCCGCTAGTGCGGACTCCGTGCCGCGCGGCTACACACGGCACGGACTAGGTAGTTCGGACTAGGCTTCCTATTCCGAACTACCGTTACTCTTCGTGCATGCGTTTGGATTTGTTTAGCCTGGACACAGATCTCCTGCATTTTTCCTTCCAAGTTCAGAGCAGCTTGCATCCAATGATCAGTGAGCTGACCACAAAGCCTGTGTTCAAACACACAGAAGCACTGTGTTCAGCGTGTTGTTTGGAAGCTCGCGTATCAGACTCTTTTCGTCAAATGTAAAATCTATTGCAGCTGTCTGGGAAGGCAGTGACCTCCGCCATCTTGTTGCTGTGGAGAGCTCACCGTGCACAGCAATACTTTGTATCTGGAAGCATGTTTTCAGATCTAAATCCACAAGTCGCTTGAACAAGGAGGAATCAGAGACTCTTTCCATTGGCACCAACGTGCTTTAGATCGGTGGGTCTCAAACTTTTTGGCCGGTGGCCCACCCTGCTCAATGCAAGCCTTTCCACAAGCCATCAGCCAACCACCCATGATAACAAAATGGGTGCAGGAAGGGGGAGTCTAGATGGGAGGGAGGCTACAGGAGCAGGACAGGGGTGCAGGGTCTCAGCGGGAGGGGGATGGAGAACACTTACCTGGCTCCACGCCCCTGGTCGCTCCCAGGCATCGTCCCCCCCACTGCTCCCATTGGCCAGAATTCTGGCCAATGGGAGCAGTGGGGAAATGAACAGTTTCCTGCACTGGTGTTCCCCCAATCCGGGGGAGGGTAGCAGCAGCGCACAGAGCCGCTTACTCCTCCCACAAGCCAAATCTGGCCTGTAAGGCTCAGGGCTCCCGCCTTGTCCCCCACCTGCAGCAGGAAGCCAGAACTGGCACTTCAGTCTCACAGGGGGAGGGAAGTGTGGGGCTGGAGCACCCGTGCCACCTCCCCACTGCGGGGGGTTCCGACCCCGTAGCCCACCTGCAGGATGGTTGCGGACCAGTAGTGGTCCCCGGACTACACTTTAAGAACCACTGCGTTAGAGCAAACCCTTCAATAGGCATTAGGGAGGAAATATGAGCCAGGATGCCAGGGTTCTGCTATAGATTTCCTGCGTGACTGACACTCTGTGCTTCAGTGTCCCCATGTGTAAAACCCGCCTTCCAGGGAAACTGAATTAATGAGCTGCTCCAAATGTGGAAGGGAAAATGCAGGAAATCTGTGTCCAGGCTAAACAAATCCAAGCACATGCACCCATTGAGCCCGGAATTGCTGAAGCATGTGACCAGCCAGTAGCTCAAGGGGGGCAGAATTTGTAGTCTTGCTGTTTCAGATCCATAGCTGGAAGGCACTGTGGAGTGGAAGGCAGTAAGATTATTGCCTTTCAGCTTAGCAGGTGCACCTCCTGCACTCTATGTATGGTGAACTCAGTGCCACTTCCGTGTTGGCTGGTCTATCCC